CTTTGCAAGTGATATCGGATATTACACTGATTATTGTGAGCGAGACAGAGGCAGATGTCGTCAATTCCATATTTAAATTGGTTCAATTGTCTTATGTATTTTCGCCTTCCTTGGGACAAAAAAAATTGTGACAAAAAAAACGGAATCATGATTATTGTTAATGAGACGGCTGGGAATAAATTTGACGAATCAAAAAGTATTTTTACATTAAATATTTATTTATTTCGAAAACCATTATGATTTCAAATATCATATTTATTAGAAAATTAATATTTGTGAATTTAAAAGAGGCGTTGTACTCAATTTATGTGACAGAAAGAGATCATTATTGAAAACTTTATTCCTATCACTTTTAACGGCGCTAAATGACTTTAAGAAAATTTCCTCTAATAGTAATTTTGATTAATAGTTCTCTGCTATCTTTCTTATGCAAACAAATCTTTCCTCTTTATATATTTTTATAAGTTAACTGTGAAGTTATGTATAAAAAAAGTTAAATGGCGATTAGGATACGTAAATAATATTCTAACTAATTTTAAATCAAAATCAATAGACTCTATGAAAAGAGGTTAGTATCATTATATAAATTTAATGAAGTACACTAAATACTTTTTGGATTACAAGAATTACGATGAGAGTAGTATGAAATTTGGCCTAGTTAAAGTTTAATATATAGTAGAAATACATAATGCTAATATTTTTTATAATAATGGTTAAAAAGTAGGTTAGTAATAATTTTACAAGCCAGCTTCGCGTCATGATAAAGGCTTAATAACTAGATAATGTCTATTTCATTTAAGTAACAAAGGCAGCTTGTATTTACATCTTTAAAAAATCCAGTTGAAGTTCTTACACTCCACCAAAATTGACAAAAAATTAAACTATACGGCGTATGTCCTAAGAAAAATGTACATTCATTTATTACATTGTAAATTAATCTTTTGGAAGACGATATGACAATAAGCTGTTGGGCCGCATAAACATTTTTAGCGTATTTCCATAAGTCGTATACACAGGTCGAAAACGGAAAATAATCTGAGAAAAATGGTATATATAACTCAATATCGCGAAAATGGTTTATACGCCAATTGCACCCAAAAGTATCGTCTTGAGTATTGATAAATATCGTTAATGAAGAATACTTTAAAAATCCCCAGTCCCCCGACAGCCCGAGATGGGCGTCGACACCACAAGCTCTAGCTCAATAGCTTTGCTTTCCATACTAGCGAACGTACGGGTATTTACATAAATATTTAGGCAATCACATATTTTACCTAACTTATGAAAGTTAAGTGAGAAATCCGCAATAACATACATATCAAACGCTACTTATCTAAAATATTTTCAACATTAATCTTATAATAAACGGATAAAAAATCGATAAAAAAAATATACTCCGTGTACAATACGGCAACGGTAGCGATCCTGATATCTGATATATTTACAGCTTTAAGATTTGACAATATTCATTAAATTTGGTTTGTTTGTTTTATATTAGCCGCTTGCTTTCAAATCAAATAATTTATTGGCCATATAACTCAGAAGGTTACACTCGGCAAGTCTTTTACAATAAGCATTTCAAATTAAATATAAAGGTTTAAATCATGCAGGTCAAATCATTGTAGGAATGTCAAATAAATTAAGTATTTTAACAATGTCAAAGTGGTTAATTTACGATTTAATAATCAATTATATCACAGTCATTTAAATTACAAATTAAATTATTATTATACATATATATTTGTGTTGGTCGTCGAGGAATCTTTTCTAAATGACGTCATAGGCACATCTACTGGTACCGTCGACAAAGAAATAATAATTATATTATTGCTCCGCTTAACTTTAGTTAAGACGAGTTGCGGTGTCTTTACGTAATATTATGAAACTAAACAAAAAAACTATATACAAACTAACAATTTTAAAAAAAAAGCTCGAGTGAAAATAGTGGCCGGCACGGAAAGACAGATCTGATTGCGTTGCTAGCGGTACTCGGAGGGTAACCTGTATGTGAGGTGCAATGAAGCGGGAAATGTGGTGATGGCCAAATCGAAACAAACATCTAGTAAATGATTTAAAACAGTATTCTATGCACCAATGTAGAGTGACTTTAGTATCGACCTCCTAAGAATTGTTTGCCAATACGCCGTACCATACCAGGGCCGTAATAAGAACATGGCAAAAAGATTTCAAATGGTTTTATGTAAATATATTGACGACTCAATTTATACACTGTCTCATTTTTTATGGAACTGTATAATGTCATGGACTTAGTAATAAATAACAGGACACGTAACGCCGAAAAATTGTAATAACAAAAATGGACCTTATCACTATTGATAAAAGTATACTTATCATTGTTCACTGTACAGAACTTAATCCGAGCCAAAAGAGATAGTCACAACAGAGGCCGTGTGTCTCGTTCTTTCATCATGCCATTATAAAACAATATTGTTCATTAAAGTTTTAAACTAAAATAACCTCAGTGGAAATATTTGTATTTTAATGGTAGCTATTTCAAAAATTTTAGTCATTACATAATCACATTAATTTCTGTAGATAAAACCATTTTCAATATTAATCAGACACTGGCATCATTTCGTATACCTTTATTGAATTAATATTCTATACACTGTTTATTGTTTTTATGTCACTCTCTTCTTTACTCTGACTTTTATGTATTTACAACGTGAAATATATTAAATACTCCAATCCACTGTGACTCTTAATTTCTACGTTTTAAGAATTTTGTTATTATTTCTTGCTTATTTTCTACTGTTATCTCTTTGAAGTGCTATATTATACTTATGCCGGTGATATTATACATGCATTTAATATTTTATTTTATGATCTTTGTATTGAATAGTATGAAATGACACCACTAGACTGACCCAATAAATCGGAGCGTAGTCACTCATACATGTGTGTCGCTATTTAATAGATTTTTTTATGAATCTATATTATATGACTTAAATACGGGTATGGCACACGGTTGATCCGGTGTAACGCGCATAATAGACCGTATAGTTGTTTGATACATTCCATCTATATTCTCTGTCACAATGCATATGGCACGAAAAAAAAGTAATGAAAATAAATACCTACTTATCTAGTTATGTATGTCAGCCTATCCCTTATCACGTGTAACAGAAATAATTACACAAATAAGTACGTATGTATGCAACACAAGTGTCCTTTTTGCAGTCAAATAGACTAAACACTCATTGAAGCATTAAATGACATCTTGTTTGAATACAGATACATAAACTGACTTTAACAAAATGTTAATGATCATTATTTAGGATATTTCACAGTAGTTAGGTCGAGTAGGATCGCTCCAGCATTAGTGTTGACTAATACTTGATGGTTAGCAATAGTTAAGAATCTATATTAGTTTCATTTATTAAAATAAAATTATTTTTATGACGACCCGCGCTTGCCCAAATTTGCCTAGCTTACCTCAAAGTTAGAGTCAAAACACTATAGAAATGTTTAATTGTTTTGTAATATGTTATAATGAGAATAGACAGGTAAGCACTTTAAAGGAAGCCCTACAGTATAGAGACACATTGACATTGACTTTATGAAACATATGACCGGCAATGTTCACGGACGGAAAACGGTAACATGCGATGTATAATTAGTGACTAAGTAAACTGGCTAAATAGATCACTATTCTCTACTAACATATAAGTATCGGAGATCACTTATAATATCGCTACCATGCATCTTATTACTATGAGTCTCCTATATTTTTTAGCGCTGTTGCAAGCGCCATGTTTTCGGAATAACTGAAGTCTTGCGGGTAGATGTTATTTGAAGATAATCGAACTACCCTCTTTCTTGTTCGATGACGATTCGATGACGTTCAACGCCTTTACAATAAATGTCAGTGAACATTCTTACAGGTTAATAACATCGTGAAAGTTAAAAACAATTTTAACACAAAGTACGAGAGGAATAGCGAGAACGGAAAGCCTACTCTGTTTCTCCGAAAACGAAAATTCGTTTATTTTCGAAACACTAATACGACTCTAAAGGAACACATTTTTCAATAATTAATAGTGAAACTGAGGCAGGACCCTGACACTGCTTCTGATGCACAGATAATATTGACGCATATGATTTTTAAAAAAATGTAAGAACTATTCAAAAATTTTGTAATATTTGTCTAAAATAGCGTAGCCCCTCTGAAATGGAATAGAACTTAGAACAACAACAGCCTGCTACTGCGTGGGAAGCACAGGATAAAAAAACAGAATTATAATACATACATCATGATTTTTATAATAGTGCGCATCTAGCTTATCCTAAATATCGTTTGGTATTTACGATGGGCTAGATATCAGTCAAATAAAGAGCCGCCAGTAGAACTTTTAGATAATTTATTCAGTAAATACAACTGATAATTAAAAATATAAATATTTAGTTAACGGATCCTTTTATGGTGACTCAAAAGGTTTCGTCCTTTACCTAAAATCCATAAATGTATTTATACATATAAATCGGCCATTTTAACGAGATGAATATAACTTTTTTGTGGGCTTTTATTAAAAATGTAATGTGCGTATGATTTCCTATATTTTTTGCTTTTTTTTTATAATATAACAATCTTGTCTGTCGATTCAGGCCGAAGTTTCTATGGAAGCTTAGCATTGTCCTTTTAATATCACTATTACTTACTGATAAATAGTCTTGTACATATATATAAATAATGACCTTTTTGAATGTTAAATATAAAAACCGGCACAAGACACGTTTAGCTATTTCCCGTATTTCAAGAAAGTTTAATATAATATTATAAAGATGTAAACTTTCTAATCCTGTGTGTTCTTAAGGGGTAATTCTTGGAAATTCTTTCATTTAAGCGGATGAAGTCACAGGAATACAGTTAGTCATGGTAATAAGGAAAAAATCTTAATAATGAATGGTTTATTCACAGCCGCCATCTCCATCAGCCGAAATCAAGAAAATATTCTCTACAAGAGGGCTCACGCACCGGTATGAGCAGCGAGCGACGGGTGTCCATCGCTCCCGTTGAGGAGCCGCTGCCGGAGATGGACCAGGACGAACTGACCAGTCACCGCAGCGATGACACTCGCACCCCACGACGTCATGTCGGTGACAAGGTAACGTACTTTTAGTCTATTGTAGAGAGGGATTGCTATCGGATCTTAATTATTGTCTCGACAAACAAAGTTCACAAAATAGTCAGTATTAGTAGTATTTCAATCCATCAGCGGTAAAATTTTCAATTTAACTTTAACACCAAAAAGTGACGGACTTTCACAAAGTTTCAAATCCCGTTTCACCCACTTAAGGTTGAATTTTCAGAAATGCTGAATCAGACATTTACGCCTTTACGTAGAGCAGCTCAAATATAAAGTCTCATGTTTCTAACACTAAAAATGACGGACTTCGGTATAGACTTTCAACCTAAAATTTAACCTCATATGTGTAGAATTGTCAAATCCATATTCACCTTCTTTATCACGCGTTCGTTATTATTAAAATACATGTCAAAATTGTAAAATGCAACGAAATATCGCAATAACTTCGCTATGTTGTCGAATCCTATGGCTAGAGAGAGGTAAACGGTCGCACTCCTATTTTTTATTAAGATTCAGTTAATTTTGTTGAACAGACATCGAGTGGTGGCAGAGACGGCGGTGACAAGCCCTATAACGTTCACTCAGAAGATAACTACAAGAAAGTTTACGACAAAAGTCCACATTCGGTAAGATTCTACTAACAAATTTTATATTGTTTTTTCTATATAATCAATAATATATATATATAAACATTTGGTAAGTTAAAGACATCAATCTTAATAAACATAATATACATGCACCTTGATAGACATAGCAAGCAATATGAAAAGAAAGTAATAGGGTCAAACGTTCCCTGGTATAAAAGTGTGTAATTACATTTTCTTGTTATTACTTTAAAAGTAATATCAGAGAGTAGATTGTGTAAAGACGGTCATCAGTGTAACGACTTGTATCACGGTACATGTGCTCTTCTCTAACGAATCGCAATTTACCTTCGATTCTTATTAAGAAAATGACAGCTTAAAAAATGAAACTTAAATATTTATTTTAGCCTATTTTTAGTATTACTTTCATAGCAGCAACATAAATAATTAAAGTTTCTGTGAAAATTTCAACTGTACATCACAGTTCATGAGATGTATGGACAGACACCAAAGTCATAGTAATAGAGTCCCGTTGTTACCCTTTTTGTTGAATACGGAACCGTAAGAAGTTTGTGTTAAATAAGTAAATCCTAATTCAGGTTTTCGTCCAACTGGACGAGCTTCTGTCGACCGCGGATGGCGAATCAGAGTGGCAAGAGAAAGCCCGCTGGATCAAGTATGAAGAGGACGTGGAGGAAGGTGCTGACCGGTGGGGCAAACCACACGTGGCATCCTTGTCCTTTCATTCACTGCTCAATCTGAGGAGATGCTTGGAGACAGGTGTAGTCCTCCTAGACTTGGACGAGAAAGACTTGCCCGGAGTAGCGTACAGGTACGACACTAGAACTTGATAACTTTAAAAGATTTCAAATTCAGAAGTAGGGGAAGTGCCTTAAGGTCGGCGTATCTGTCAGAAGATGCGTCGTATATCATCGGACGCAGAATGCCAGAACTGACAAATGAGTATATTAATGACATTCAACCCTGCACACATCTGTTGATAACTTACTTACTTTAATTAAAGCGCCATAATCGATACAATTTTTTAATTAAGTTTTTCTTAGAACTTGATTTCGTCACTAATAATAATAATAATAATTTTTTTATTTATTTACTCTTCACAATAGTTTTCTTAGAACAATAAAGAAATTATAAATTTTATGTATATATCCGTATTGTGAAGAGCTGGTGTCTGAAATTAAAAACGAAATTAATGATTAAGGTTATAATTCCCAGCTTTTAATTTAATTTAATTTGTGATAATTAGTTAGAGGATCTGGATGTTTGAGCGTCCATAAATTATTTCAGATGTAAACGAAGTGTGACATTTTATGAAAAAAAAATGGCATAGGAATAAAATATCTGAGATACGTTTAATCAATCAATGTTGTTTTGTATTTTTATATAAAAAATGGAATCAATAGAATAACTTCACTAAGCGACGTGAATTCGCACGCACGAGTGAATCGCACTGCAGAATTTAAATAGATATGAACTATGGAGGGCAGAGTCTTACAAATTTGCGACAGTTGCATGTGAAAATAATGGAGAGTGAAGCGAAAAATCATTAAATACGTGACATAATTTGTTTGTAATGCCTATAGATATAGATTTACCACATCTCCTCAGGGTCGTAGAGAGTATGGTGGCATCCCAACTGATCGAGGAAGATGATAAGCCAGTAGTGATGCGCTCCCTCCTACTGAGACACAAGCACGTGCACGATGATAAAGGGTTCAGGTTCTCAATAGCAGGCCGCAAGCACGCCTCATACACCAGTCTACAGGTATGTTTATCGATCATTAATAAGTTATTGCAATCTTCATTTATTCAAAATATATATTCTATTCTTTTATATTTTTGACGTCTTAAATATTATGGTAATTTATTCATAAGAATAATTTTCTTACGTACACTTTTAAAAATAGATCAGTTTAAATTTAATGACGATTACGTTTGAGCACATAAACCATTGGTTAGACAACTTAAAGGTTCTAATCTAATAGAACCTATTACATATTAACTATATTGTATCCTATATTATCCCTTTATTGGAAAGTCAAAGTAATCTCCATCTATGAATTCTTGTATTCAATTTTTTATTTGTGTTATATTAAAATGTATCCTGGATTTTCGAGCAAACACTAAAATTAGCATTGTTATATTTATAGTTCCACTTCACTGAATTGTTATTGAAACACAAGGCTTCACTAATTCTCTTTTACATATGAAACATTATCTATCCAAGAAGAATAAATTTGCATAATATTATAACACACAGCCTGGCATTTCTATACATAAAATGGCGTCAATAAGTTTTAAAACGCAACGAATCGTGGCAAACGAAAAGCTGAAATAAACAATATTAAACTACTTATTTTGAAATTTTTTGTATTTGTAAAAAAAAGTATTGTTTACCTTCACCACCTACAGAACATTATGACAGACAAGAGTGACGTACGTATTTATTTTTGGTGAGTTTTGTTACAAAAACAAATAATAATACCGTTTAATTATACCGCACGTGACAGCGCACCACGCACGACACAATAAGGGTTAAGTGGCGTTCACACAGGGCCAGTAACTAGCTCCGAAATCGTGGCAAATGCTTTTCTAGTGTATATTGAACTATAAACACGTGACCACGACTACTGACTCATGACTAAACCCGTGTAAACTAACCCTCAATTCTGCTTATGTCAAAGTAGTAATGGTATCTCAATATCATCTCAATTATATAATAACAGTTTTCCATTACACTGAGCCCATTATTATTAGTACAATGTCTCTGTTGATTTATATCAATTGTGATAGATATTTTTGTCACATTGATTAAGTCACAGTTACTTTGTAAAATAGTTGTTAATGAAGCACCATTGACTCGCTAAATAAGCTGACACTAGATGAACTAGGGCCTAGTGCATTCTATTTTCGGCGCCAGCTACGACTCCGGTTACTGACTCTCTTTACTAACCCTGTATAAACAGGCTTTAAAATACTTACAATTGCCGGATTACTCCTTGGCCTTAGCAAATATTTTTAAAATTAAACCAACAACATTATAATAAATTAAAGTAATCTTTGTATTAGTATTTCAAATTGTTCCATTTAGTTTGATGAAATATTTATGTCTCACTAGCATTATTGTAAACATAATTAAGTAACTAAATAAACTCTTAAAAACATAAAACAACCTCCTTTCTGATTTAAAAGGCTTTTAATTTTTTTTTTGGACAAAAGCTTGAACTTTCCATTATTGTTCCTTTAAGAATCTAATCTATTGTCAACTTAACAACATTAAATTCCTTTACTTATAACTATTACGGACTAATTGTTTTCCTAATAAATTTAAGTATATATTATTTTTCGCACTTATTTATTTTTTTCTTTGTGAAATTAAAATGGAAACACTTTATGTCTTTGTTGTATAACATTAACCTTGATAAAATCAATCAAGAGATTTCAATGTTTTAATTTCGATTACCTCCATAACCAAGTGGCTACTACGCCGGTTTCAGGGTGTCCTCTGGCGTTCAGAGTTCAATTCCCAGCGGGCCCAATCTAGATAGTGTACTTTTAGATATTATCTCGGGTTTGGTTTGTTGTTTCTTAAAGGTAACACGAATGCTTTAGCTACTCATTTTGGAATGTGAGCATTGTGTGTGTGTACATCATATATTTTTGATTTGGAAAAAAAGAAGTTGCAATTACATTACGCTAAAGAACTAACTGTTTAGTCTAAAGAAATCATGTTACCTTCGTATTCGGGTTATGTGATATTTATTAGTGCATATAAACCGCTGATTTTTATAGACACTCGATTTCCTAAAATATTGCGCACCCGCGATAATGTCATAATCAAATTGGTGATGATAAGGTCCCCGATAAATTTATTACTTTTGTCTACAGAAACGACATTTGTTTGACATTAATCAATTGTTATTCAACGAACGCTTTAAAGAAGTGTCTACTTAAAATTACCTCATATATTATAAATGAAAATTATCTATTTATCTTCTCATTGAGCTAGTTTATGCAACACTAAAGGTACTTCGCATTTGCAACATTACTATGTATATACATAGTTGTACTACAAGTACTAATTATAAATAATGAGATTACACCGAGCTCTTCATACTCCATATCTTCTAAAATAAAAAGCAGTCTTATAATCTCTCCTAACCTTGCAGATGCAGCAACAATGCTTAATCCGAAAAGCTAATTAAAAGCCAAACACACAGCAATCCTATCTTTAGATGACCGTTCAACTCTTTGTTTGGCGACATCCTATCCTATCCAATATCTTGACATCATTATAGCGATTCCATAATTATGTTAAAATTCTGATAAATGCTAGCATAATTATGGAAAGTCAATAGCGCTTCAACTAAAACCCTTTACGACACAGTTCTGTTCTGTCACACAATTGTTGATTTGCGAGGAAGACTTCGCACTAATAATATTGGAGTTCCGGTAGATAGTACAATACCAGAGTTCCAGTAGTTAAGATTCTATTAAAATGCAATTATAGCATAGCAGAGATGAGGCCCACATTCCTTGCGGAATATGATAAAGCAGATTCAACAGAGACCCACGAGACACGATCTTTCAATACGTTAGTTAATGCTACCGAGGCGTTAAAAACTCTTTTCATGCGTGTTTGTCAGCTTTTATAACTTCCAACGTCACCTTTCAATTCCCACCACGATTAATTTGAACGTAATAGATGTGTCTGCTTTTTCTAATTTCCACATATTTCACTTTCGCGTTGTAATTTAGTGCTTATGTTTCTATTAATTATTACACCAACGCTGGTTGGCAAAACTTTTAATATTATTATTTAATATAATTATCGAATGTAACAACTCGTCATTACATAATATATAATCTTTGATCGATATAGTTTATCTTGAATTATGATATGTACATAGATTATGTATGAGGTGCGTGCAGACGCCCCAATAGATATAATGTCATGTAAAGTACCAAAATTTTTCAAGGTTCTCTTATCGAGTAATATCACCGGCAATCCATATGTAGGAAATAGTAGATATAATATAATAATAATAATATATTTTATTGGAACATTACACTTTACAGATATTATCGTGTACGAAAGCAGACTTGTTGACTTGAATATGACTTGTAATCACATTTTCATGTTAAAGATGCAAAGCTGAGTTTTAAATGTAAAAACAAAGTTACACATCAAGCAACAATTAACAAGTATTTATCTTGGTCATATCGACAAATGTGCTAGTTGTCTAATTTCATGTTTCCATTTTCGTTTATTATGTTGTTAAACGCTGTAACGTAATTATACTATCCAGCTAGCAAAGAGGTTACTATAATTGAAAATATATATGATTACTATCAAAAGAAGACCTTAAGCAGTAACATTAATATTTGCTACGGTCGCTTTAAGGACGGTGACGCTTTCGTAGCACCCGCTACGATCTTAGTATAATGCTAATCATTAAATACTTCGTAGCATTTCAATTTGATAATCAATTACGGATATTGATATATATAAAGATAGATGTCTCCAAGATAATGCATTGATATATCCTTTGAGATACACACATATTTTTTTAATAAAAATATATGTAAACTCATTTATGTAATCCCAATTCTATTAGAGAGTATGTTTTCAAATTGGATTCATTTAAAAACAAAACAACTAGAGTGGTCTATAACGATATTACGTGAACGGCTAACTTTCAAAAAGTTTGTTGAATTCATTAACGGAGCTTTTAAGTATAATTACCCACTCAGAACAAATTTATTTTGAACAAAACAGAACAATCAAAAATTGGCAAACAACATTTTATTAATTTCTAAATGAACACGTGGACTATAAATTAAAAAGTTATCTTTTAATAAATAAAAAAAAAACATTTAAAAAATATTTTTCTGAAGTGGTTTGGATAAAAAATAGTTCACTTAGTTTTTTTCCTAGATAATTTATCTTTAATTTATATTATATTTACTTGTACTAACTGATTTACCGCAATGTCTTTCGCATATATTATAGCGTTTGTCGCCAGCATATGATAGCTTCCCTTAGGGTATTAATTAATGGTTCATGCCGTAGGTGAAACAAATCGGTCCTGTTGTTTCGGTGCTTGAAGAGGCATACGAACAAAAAATTTGTATCGATGATACCTGTCGATCTAATTTAACTGTAAAAAATAATTTCATCACTTCAGTGGAGTTCTTATCCATATACAGGGTTAGTTTAAAAAAATTTCTCAAGAATAGGTAGCTAATTATATACGAGTACATAAACCGTAGATAACAACGCTTAGTCTAAGAAAACTAATTACTACATTTGGTACATATATATAATCCTACATTTGCACAATTGCTACAATCGTACAGGATGTGACGTGAACTGCAGGTACCAACTAATATCAATTGTATATTAAGTAACATGCAACAAATGGGTTATTTTAATTAGATTTTGCGCTTGAATGTTATAACTCTACGTGCAAGATGACGTCAACGTGTGAGCGCAATATCGTCCTTTCATTTATTAATAAAATATAGACTTAATAATGTGACAACATTAAATAACTTGAAAAAAAAATATTTATTAAAGTATTGAGTTACAAAACCGTACAGTAAATTTCAACTAAAGTTGCTCATGGTGAATCTTCGTTAACAAAGAGAAGATCTACAAATTGCGATAATGTAACGTAGGATTAAATTTATAATGAATCTCGTTTCAATATCCATTTAAAATGCAACCATTTAAGTGTCCGTCTCGCTCACACTCGGGGGTCAGATGCATTGATGTTAAAGGATTTATTTTAAAAAATCTACGTTTCGTAATTAAGCCTTCTGCGCAGGTACGTCAAATAAGCCGCATCAGTTGTATCTTAACCATACATTATTGTTTATAATGTTAGCTAATCAAAAATAATACTGATGTTTTCAAATAACCCTGTATATTACGTATAAAAATATGTATTACAGTATCGCCAAATTGGCATTCAAAAATCTACCTGTGTCCTTTCAAGACCAACAAGATTATTTCCCATCGGTACCGATAAAAATGATAAATATGAATTCACGTGTTAGCATAACCTTCGCACTTACATTTTTCTATTACGAAATAAAGAGACGCGATATGATTGAATGAAATATAAACGTGTCGCGATATAAAACTGATAACGCTAGCATTTCCTATATTAATAATTATATTGGCTGGTAAATTGGCATTGTTTTTGCTTTGTTACCTGCTTGTCAATGTGAAACTGATGGGAATATTAGCAGTTGTTGGCCAGCTATTAAAGAATTTCTCACGCCATAAACGTAGCAGGAAAAGAGAATTATCTAACTATATAAATTCTTTCAAACACTTAAAGATCCCGCGCTGCTTAGAGGGTTGTAACGCATGGTTAAAAGAAAAGTCACTGAAGGACCCTCACTCATAATATAAGAAAAATTATGTCAATATAGGTTCTGGGAAATAAACCAATATATACTTGATCATATTTCCTTCTCGAGTACATATTTGTTTCTACACTTGTGCATACACTTTTGTTAGCGAAAAGCTTTTCTGGCAATTTAAATGTAATAGTAATACAATTACACGTTACATTAATATTATAATATGTTACAAATGCAGGGTGTGTAATTACAGCTTACAATAATACAGGTTATAATTACATCTAAGGGTTTATTTCCGCTAAAACGACTAGTCGCCGACGATCGTAACCACTGACGACTAGTGATGCACGACAATGATTGCGACTGTGTTCTATCAAATTAGGCTATGTTCAAAATGGACGTCGAGGAATTAACATGTCTTTTACTTATTAAAAAAAAAATTAAAACATAGATTCTGGATACGTCTATTGCTAAGAGAACGTACCGTGATTAAGATCTCCTCTCTCGACGATTCAAGCTTAAATGAGAGACTACATATCTGTTGAAGAAAATCTACTGAATTTTTCAGCTTTTTGTTGAAGTCGTTTTAGTGGGAACCTTTGATTTTATCGCTGCACCTAATAAATACTTATTTACCTAATGACAAATCTTTTATTCCAAAATGTGTTAATTATGTAATATGTCTAATCCTTAAGTCTCTTAAGGATTAGACATATTACATAACACATTATTTTCTATACGATCGGAGAAAGGAACATAATACCAATTATTCAATACAATCAATCGTTTCACTCGTGTCTTAAATAGGCTAGGCGTACTAATAGACAACCAGAAATTGATATCGTATGTCTTCTAATTCATATTGAAGAACATGGTTAATTTACATAATAAATCATAATTTGAATTGGAAAAAGAACATAATTTTTATGGTTCATATATCCGACGCTTTCCAAAAATTAGAATATATTCATGCAATTATGGCTGCTAGCATGAATTACAAGAACTGTCTCTTACGAGAAACAAGACCCAACCCTCGTAGCATGTCGAACTCGAGAATCTCTTAGGCATAATAGTACGCAACTGAGATCGAACATGTTAGTTCACGATTACTAAACGAACTAGTTCGCTCTTGTAGTTCGTTCAGTACTCACTACCGGTCTTGGTCTAGCCCGTTTCTAAAGTCTCTCGAATTTCCTCGCGCGACGATGGCAGACGTTACATATGTAATTTAAAAACATTATGGACCCTGTCGGGCACAATAAATAATAGAAAGGAGGAACACTAGAGTTAAGTGATTTCGTCGGCCGTGTACCCAGTTGGCTAAGTGTACGTGTGTTGTCCAGTCTCTATGGATGGAGGAGGGGCCCCACTCCAGAGCGAGGTGCTCTCTCTGCTCGGCGACGTCGACCTGCCGCCGCCACAGCGCACACGTCATCGTACGGACCACTCCTGTGCGCATGCCCTTGCTCCTGCACCCTTCCTAAACTAGCCCTAGCTGCATACCTGTTCGAATACACAGTCGTATCATCTACTTCAAATTTAGAACTATCGTTGCGTTTTTTGCTAACCCTTTGTTGAAAGTACATATGCTTTGTAAATTTATTACTGCTTCAGTTTCAAAAACACAAGTTTTCTTTTGACCATCGATCTTAGATCATTCTAAATTATGAGCAGACATATTTCAGTAGCGCACACATTCTTTAGCACCGTAGTGCTCTATGTTATTTCTCAACTCCTAATTTCCTCGGGATAATGTAAGCCCTAAAATCATATATTAGAAATCGTTTATAAGTATACACCGCTTTGAGATGAGAATTGTCTTAATTCATCTTCATTTACATAAATAATTCTGAAATAGTTTCACTGTTTTTATCACATCACTAGTATTATTACCACGGTGTGTATTTTGAATAACATTGTTTTTATTTATGGATAGTAATTTTTCACTTATTGTGGTTTTACAGGTGTGATCATTACTGATTTTCGTGAATCGCTTATATAGACAAGCATAGCATGTCGTTCGAGCAGACGCTAACGTGAATAATTATGTTATGTAGAACATTTTTTTTTTGTAGTGGGCATTTCACATTAGCCATTTTTATGAGCGCTAATTTGCTGACCATATTGAGATGCTTGAAATATTTTTTATGTAAATTAGAAAGATTATATAATAGACAATAATGCTCGATAGGGTTTGGCTGATCTAAATACACACATTGTAAATATAAATCATCTCGATGTCATAAAATTAATTGAATTACAAAAAAACTTTAGCAATACTGCCTGCTTCTTAAAATCTCTTTTCTCCAAACAGAATATGGCAGAACATCGTCGCCGACGCAGCTCCCACGCATTGCCTATGGATCGTACAGAACTAAAGAAGTCTTCGATAGCGGGCGATATGCGAGAGGTAGAATACCTCGCATCAGCTGTTATCAACGGTTCACAGGAAGACATGAAGCGTAGTCACAATGATCCTATTCTCAAACGCATCCCAGAAGACGCCGAAGCCACCACGGTACTCGTAGGCTCGGTCGGTTTCCTGGAACAACCCACTATCGCCTTTATACGGTTAGCTCAAGGCATATTGATGCCTTCTATTACAGAAGTCCCGATCCCAGTCCGTTTTATGTTTATTCTACTGGGCCCGCGCGATGCTGATCTAGATTACCATGAGGTCGGACGATCCATCTCTACGCTCATGAACAATCCGACATTCCATTCAATCGCTTACAAAGCTGATGATCGCCGTGAGCTTCTTTCAGGTATAAATGAATTCCTGGATGATTCGATTGTGCTACCACCTGGAGACTGGGAACGCCAAGCTTTGCTTCCGTTAGATGAGTTACGTGCTAAGAGTGATATGATAAGGAAGAGAAAAAGGGACGCTCTTGAACGCAAGCGTCTTGCTGAGGAGACAGTGAAAACCCCTATAGATGAAAAGCAAGCTTTGCTCGAGGCCGAGAAAGGCTCACCCCCTCCCAAAGAACCTGATGATCCACTATCAAGAACTGGACGCTTATTTGGAGGTAACTTTATTTCATTATTCCTAAATAATCTAGTCATGTTTATCGTCCATATTTATTATTATTGCATACGATTTTTTTGTCACACGATCTATTTTTCTTACGTGGTCAAAGCGTTAAATGAGGACCGCATGCGTGCGATCGTTGTGGGGAGTCCTTTGTTCAGCAGCCATGGACGTTTTCCTGATAATATAATTATAGTCCATTTTTCTACTACTATTTAAATTTTAGCACCCACGTACTTATAAAGTTAACTCACTTCAGGTGTAATCCGCGACATCAAGAGACGTTATCCCTTCTACTTGTCTGACTTTACTGATGCCTTGAACGGTCAATGCGCCGCCGCCACCATATTCATGTATTTCGCTGCACTTTCATCGGCCATCACATTTGGCGGCCTCCTAGCGGAGAAGACATACGGTCAGATTGGAATATCAGAGACTTTGGTCAGTATTTAAATCATTATCTAGTGTTCTTATGCAGTTACCAAACGTTTGAACCAAAACAACTGTCAATGTATCAAATAAAATAGTTCTAACATATCAAATAAACATAATCTCAGGTTTTCACATGTGCCGGTGGAGTAATATTCGCCCTGCTATCCGGACAGCCCATGATGATAACGGGCGCTACTGGACCGCTGCTCCTATTAGACGATGCGTTAGCCAGCTTCTGTCGTTCAAACGGGTTCGACTTCCTCGCTGCTAGAATGTACTGCGGTATATGGATGATCGTTATTGCAATCTGCGTCGCTTCAGTGGAAGGCAGTGTCGCTGTTAAGAAGATCACTAGGTATTTTAAATATACCCTTATAACTTAAACTAGGTATTTTAAATCTACCCTTATAACTTAGCTTTACAATAAAATAAAAAAGATAGATGACTAACATCAGTCAACATCTTGGTGGAATGAGAATTTTTAAAAATATATCACCAGGTTCACGGAAGACATCTTCGCGTTCCTCATTTCATTGATCTTCATCGGTGAGCCGGTGACGAGCATCATAAACGTGTATCGCGCTCATCCGCTCGGCGTCGACTACTGCGCTCACAATGAATCTGTCATTCAACCTCCTATCTCCAACGGAACTGCTTGTAAGTGCATTTGATGAACTTCCTAACTAAAACTCATTAAATATAAGGTACTATGTAGCAATCCCGTCTTTAGCAATCATTCTGACCTTCCTACTGATGTCAATAGTTTTAATATTAGTAATTATATTTAGTCACAGAGCAATATGCACTAAACCTAGAGAAGAGTAGTCTACGAAGTTTCAATTTATTTCAATGTGATTTCAAAATTACTAAAACTCTTTGGTTTTCTCAAATAAAAATTATGATCATCAAGTTAAATTGTTTATTGATTGTGTGTTTCCAGTGAACAACGCAACAGTAGTAACACCCACACCCTCAGTGAAGATTCTACCGCAACCCAACACTGCACTGTTTTGCACCATGCTTACTTTGTCTACTTTCATCATCGCCTACTATCTGCGTATTTTCCGCAACGGAAAATTCTTGGGACGCAGTGTAAGTCGAGATACCCCTCAAACAAAATACCTAAACGTACTCTTCACAGTTGGTCGGTGTAATGTCGTTGGTTCAAAAAATATTATAGACCATTTTTCGAAACTTTGAATGTTTCTTTTGAAAACTTGAGATAAACAATTGCCTTTAGATAAAAATGAAGTTATTGCTCTTGCTAAGAATACAAAATATATATTGACAGTCTTAGATAAAAATGAAGACGGACTTTATAAATTGGGCAACGAAAACGGTATGATCGAACAGTTTTTTTCACGAAATCAGTTTACAGTTTGTGAACAATTCTGATTAGATATTGTTTTAAGTAATTAATACTGAAGAAGTTTTATTTTGTAATTTTAAATACCTATTGAAGTATCTGTAATGAACAAATGGTTCCTTATTATTTTATTTAGCCAAAGGCCTGCAGTTACTCTTAAGTTTAGCCGGCTAAACTAACATTGTCACCTCTTCCAAGATAAATCCAAGTTTAGCCGGCTAATCTTAAGTTTATGTTCACACCCACCTTTAGCCGTAACATATATATGTAAATTCTTGTCTAGGCCCGCAGAGCACTCGGTGACTTTGGAGTACCAATAGCCATCGTACTAATGGTCGGGGTCTCCTGTTTCGTTCCTGTTTGGACTGAGACTTTGCGTGTACCTGCCGGTCTTAGCCCTACAGCTCCTCGCTCGTGGCTGGTCGCAGCGAATCCTGGTCTAGAAACAATACCCTTCTGGGCATCACTCGTGATGATTTTGCCTGCCCTCATGGTCTACATTATCGTCTTCATGGAGACGCATATCGCAGAGTAAGATTGTGATCAATTGGAGCGTTTTATATCTGAAATTGGAAAAATAATATTTACCGAATAAGTGATTGTTTAATACTTTTCATAAGACTCGAAACTGAATTACAAGTTTTGAATTAAACGATAAAACTTGTGTGCATAATTTGTATAATACTTCATTATTTATTTTTTCTGTCACAGAAATAAGTTAACATTGTGATTCAGTATCGAATATATTTTAATATTTTCAGCATGAGTACTCATGACAGTTTAAGTAGAATTCTTACATTTAGAGCCATGCGAATTGTAAAAATATTGCTAAGCTTCCATAATTTCCATTGCTAAGTATTTTTTTTTATCCAGATTGCGCTTGCGATGTCCAAATTTACACTAAGGCTTATTGGAGTATTTCCATTACTTTGATTAGCCAAAATTAGCGTTGAAATAACAATTTTCTGCTTATCTCTATAAATGTAACTAATTATGGCAGATATACTATAACGGTATCAAAGCAGTTAATTGATATAAGCAAAACCGTATTTTCCCTTTGCTGGCTGGCGAATTTCAGTAGCAAAACACTAGTATGATTGCTAACGAATGTCATCAGGTTGATCATAGACAAGCCAGAGCGGAAGCTGAAGAAGGGCAGCGGCTTCCACATGGACATCGTTATCATGTCTGTGGTGAACTCCGTGTGCGGTATGTTCGGTGCGCCGTGGCAGTGTGTCGCCACCGTCCGCTCAGTGAGTCACGTGTCGGCTCTCACCGTCATGTCCACAACACACGCGCCTGGTGATAAACCACATATAGTGGAAGTTAAAGGTATTAGAAACCTTCTGACTAATTTAGTATGGCTAAATAGAGAAATATTCACAATCACACCAAATGTTGCTATCTTTCAATTGATTTTAACCGAAATATGGTTTGGAATAAATAAATTAGCTTAAGGTATATTTGGAGACTTTTTGCCACAGCGGACGTGAAATTTTGGACTTAGCGTTATTATTATACTTACTTTTATATGGCAAATGAAAATTTTTTGAGTTGCTTTGTAACTGTATATGAAATGTATTTTTTATAAACATTCCCAGGCGCTACCGTACTGTAACGTCAGGAGTAAATATAAGTCTAAGGTTGTCGCGAGCGACTATGACCAACAATAAATATTTTTGGAAAAATATAATTTCCGTGATCTGATCAAGGAAATCATCTTATCCTCTTTACAGCTCCATTTACAGAATTTAAAAAGTATCCCAAATCGGTGTACTATAATCTCACTCGAACTTTAAGCGATTGGTTCCAATAATCTTTAACACCCGCCATTCCACGTTATTATGACAAATTTTCTCTGTTTCTTTCCTCGGGAAGACTGGTATACCAGCAAACTAGTGGTCGATATTTTCAACGAGACAAGCACACTGTCGATTTTAAAGAGAAGATTCAAGTGTAAATATAATATGCTTTATGTGTTAAGCTATTGTCTGTTTAATTCCAGAGCAACGATTAACCGGCCTACTAGTGGCCATTATGGTGGGAATATCGGTCCTGGCATCCAGTTGGCTGCGGCTTGTACCGATGGCTGTTCTGTTCGGTGTATTCCTATATATGGGCATATCGGCATTGGGTGGTATTCAGTTCTGGGATCGCTTCATTCTACTCTTCAAGCCAGTCAAGCATCATCCTCAAATACCTTATGTTAGGAGGGTGAGTATAAAAATTCTACTGAAAATCTCTACAAAAGATAAACGGTAAAGATTTGCTGATTATTTGAAAATAAAACAACATTAGCTGAGCGACATATTGCAATACATGTGGCTGATGGTAGGTAATAGCTAATTTTCTTTATATCCTATCAAAGGCTAGTACCCAACAATACCGATACCGAAACTTGTGTTAGCAAGATTCTTTGTAGATACATCTAGTATTTAAGGGAATTGTTTCAAATCACTCTCAGAATGAAGCAATGAGATAATCATAGACACGTACATTTATTGGACTGCATAATGTGATTGCATCCCTGAAGCATTGTACTATGTCATGGAACCAAACAAATATAAAATGAAAGATAAATTTGGACGTACAAACTATTTATTTGCAAACAAACATGGTCCATCAAACGTTACAGTTCTGTCAAATTTTTTTTTTGTATAGTCACTGAAAGGCTGAAATCACATTTAAAATTATATATTGACGCGAATTTTTATTTTTCACAGGTACCAACGCTGAAGATGCATCTTTACACACTAATCCAACTTGCGGGCATATGCTTGCTGTACGCAGTGAAGTCGTCCAAGTTCTCACTGGCGCTACCATTTTTCCTGGTCATGATGGTTCCTCTACGAATGGGTTTGGTGTATTTGTTCACTCCGCTGCAACTGAGAGCGGTAAGTTTCGTTTTGTTCAATTATAATACTCGTAGAAAGGTATACTTATTTAAAAATAAATATTAGGGAACATGAGTTGCTAAAGCATTCGTATCATGGAGTATATGAGACAACAATAATATGAGGCAAGAAAAATACGTACACATGTACACATGTAGATCATCAATATATTAATGATATCTACTCGCATTGCTAATAAGTGCAGGTATTCCCACAGAACAGAAAAAAAAGAATAGAATTCACAAGAACAATATAAAAATAATATACCTTGTTTGAAGATTTTTTCATTAAATTAACTAGGTACCTACAGGCGAACGCTTATTCAGTCTGCACTTACCGTCGACAATTACTATACCAGGCAGACTCAAAATAAAAATGCTATTCTTGAGGTAATACGATTGTTTTAAAATACAAAATACGTACTATCCAATAGTTGATTCAATAAGTTATAATTCGCTTACCATAAAATCGGTACTTACATTAATTATGGGACTGATAACAATTCCTAATCAAAATTGTTACATCTTTGTGTGTATAATACAGCATTTAAATTATTTGTATTAGAGGTGCCATCTTGCGGGCAGTAGCTGTACTAAAATATCAATAGATTATTTTTAAACCATATTTGATCTCAGTAAGTTTGAATTTTAATTACATTGTAATGTGCCTTACGCTTTTTTGAAATTAATTTCGAAGACCAAAGCAAGAAATAATTCATGTGTGCTTACGCTATAGTATCTTTCACTGTGTAAATTTGGTTGCAGCGGCTTGCTATTTCTACTATTTTTTTCTGTTCTTTAGGTATTCCAGTACTTTATAATTATAATAAACAGTATCGGTCTCAACATGGCACCTTGTGGAACTCCTCTGGTTAAAAACTAGCTCCAATTATTACACATGATGACGAATAAATGTGACATACTGGTTTTTTACGAAGATTGAGCGAGTTTTGTGAAGTATTCAGAGGGTGTTCTCGGGCATTTAGAGACTAAATAACGATTTAATAAGTAGTGCAGTATTCAGGATGTTTTTTTTTTTATGTTGACTCACTTCCGAGTTTTTTAAGAAATTTATTTATTTAATTCTACTGAGTCCACTCGATGTGAGTTATTTGTTCTGCGTTGCATACTTTTAATTTTGTTCGTTTTGAGTAAAACTATAGTGAGTATGGAGCATTATGCTTTTATTACAGTCAGGGTCACTTTGTTCTGTCAATTACACCTAGCGAACACACCCTCTGTAATTAGTCACGTGTAGTCTATAATATTATTGTTTCTTAGTTAACTAAACAGGTGCCAAACATCACCTAATCGTAAAGTAGTGAAAAATAGTTTGTTTTTTTTGGTGAAAAAAAAACTGACGGGCACCCTGAAGAGACGCCAATTTTTTTACATTGTTTTCTAAAATAATTTTCGATTGACAGATGTTACTCTGCCAAGGTTTGTGTCAAGGGCGAAGACGTTTGGCAACAATGTTGAGATAGTTTTTTTTTTATTTAAACAGAAATTAGGACTTTTTTAATTCTGGCCGCATGGAAGGGGCATACGAATATACTTCTATGAAGTAGTTATAATTTTGTTATTATCTGGATAGAGCACATCAGTGAAATATCTATTTTCATCTGAAAAGCTAGGAATGAATTTTAATATTAATGTTGAATTATTTGTGTAGGCCTAATATTATATTTTTCATAGTATTATATATTCATTATGCAGTTTCTGTTTTCAGTTGGACGGTGCACAAAAGGACATTGATAAAGATGATGAGCCAGACTTCTACGAAGAAGCGCCACTACCTTAAAACAAAAGTATTTATCATAATTAAAGCTAAACGTTAAATAATTCAGATTTGAGACTAATCGCGTCTCGTCTACTAACTGTTATGGCACCGGCGTTAGCTAAGATAAAAGTCAATTGTTAGTATTTTGAGGCCAAAACTATCTTAGATATAGACTTTCTTTGTCTTAAATTAGTCCAATGTGTTCCAAAACCCGATTAAGTTGATGCCCATTGATAATTATGGGCTCTGCGTTGTGGTCCACATTTGTAAACGTCACGCCGTCCATTTTAAACCGTGCATAAATTCCGTCAGAGCTTTTGAAACAGTCAAACGGGCCCCCAAGGGGTCATAAAGTGAATGCCCCCCCACATAAAATGAAAAATTTTGTTAAACCATTAATTTTTTCTTAATATGATTCTATGGAGTCTTTAACATAATACGTCGTAAGAGTGTAGAAATTTTAACGAATACGTTACAACATGTTAAAAGAATCATGTCCACTTTCCACACACTGATTGACCTGTTTTTAAAGTTATATACTTTAAAAATTAATGTATTAAAATAAAAGCTTTTTATAGTTTGACTCATATATCGCACACCTAGATCTAAACTAAGACAACTCAAAAAACTAATGTGGACGTCTGACAATATATTTGTTTACGTGGCAGGAACGCAACCACTGTTGAATAAACAAAAGACAGCTAAAGTTATCTAGTGGCTCATCCCCTAAACTTTATTGAATCTGTTATGTTGGATAGATGCGTATGATCACAGAGTACTTGAATATTATACTTAGTCAAAACTCACTCAAATTTTTGAGTTGTCTCAGTTTAGATCTAGGTGTGCGATATGTGGAAATAAATTAATGTGTGATTGTTAATGTGCACTTTTTAACCTTATATCGAAAGAATATTTTTACGTAATAAATGAAAGCAACGTAGCAAATTATCATTGTATGGTCCGAATCACGTTGGGATAACTATTTGAAAACATTTATCAGCTTCGCAATTTTTATCCTGACTTTATTTTTAGACTTAATAATCTACACGATATGAAATAAGTAAAAAATAAGGTTCATTCTGTGATATGTCACATTACTGAACGCGTTAGTAAATTTTGAGGTCGATTTGGACATGATTCTTTACTACAGCGAACACAGGTAATATTAAAATTTGTGCGCCTATTTATAAATTTCCCGGACAAAGAACTTTTTTGCTTTAATATTGTACCTATATATTCGTATAACCTATAGCGTAGGCCAAATGGCATGCTTACACAAAAGCCATCTTTTTAAACTCACTATTACCTACGCTTTATGGTTAATGTAAACTCTTTTCATAGGCTCGTCTCATGGAAGATATTATCAGTGACTCTAACTGTTATGTAGTTTATATATATCATGTACTTAATATGTTATTTAAACAGGCTTTAAATACATATCGGTGGAAATTAGCAAAAGTTTTTGTGCAATAACATAGACTTACTATTTGAATTGTGATAGTTAATTGATAAAGTGAACAAAGAATATGTATACTTGAATTATGAAGAAATGTAAATTTGTTATTACGTTATAAGTAAATAAAAATAAAAATTAAGTGTCAAATATTAAAGTTGAAATATTATATTTTTTGTAGTTTTACCAATCGGATACCAGCGTTCTTGTACTTACAAATATTATTATTATTATTGTTGAGTATTAACGATACATAATACAATAAGTTAATAAAATATTTATTCTATATACAAGCACTAGCACATTTAACATTTTCTTAGTAATATATATTCTGTAAATATAAATAACAAGTAAAAAAGGATATTTGTGTCATGTAAATGATCTTGATAATGCACTTAAGTATATACTTTTATGTAATCGACCCTTCAAAAATCACAGTGATAAAAATCATAAGCAACAAAAAATAATAATTTTACTTCCTAAGTATATTTTAATAATATATTAGTCAAATTTTTATCCATAACATTTTAAAAAAATTAACACTATTAGCAGAAAATCACAATTAGTGCACTGTCATTAAAATTATTTTGTAATGTATTGTGATGCGACTGATGTGATATGAGATAATAAGTAGATAAGATTTCAAAGTGTGATTGTGCCGATAGACAAAATTATCTAAACATAAGAGTTTAGTTAGTATTACCTATATATAAATATTTTATTTAGAAAGATGATAAATTGATAAAAATACGTATCAGGTACCTGTAAGTATAAATAAAACACATATCTAGTATCGCTTTTACTAATAACTTTTTAAATATAGATTTATAATACATATATAATTAAAAAGTGTATTTATTTTATAATCCGCTCTAGAAGATTATATGTAAATGTAGGTACTACATACTTTTGGAATATGTAAATCCTTATTTTGACCTTTGACAACGCTATGCGTAGTTAGTATACGAGGTTTTAATTAAGTATGTAGTTTACAATTTTATACTAATAAGCACATATCTTATTATAACCAGTGGTGAAATCAGTATGAAAATCTGTTCGACAGTATATTGCATTCAAATAGACAGACGCAATGTGGGGGGCTTTGTTCTATTATACGTCAGGCTTACCAGAACAAGCCGTATGACAATACGCAGTATTTTTTCCAAATATACATATATGTAAGTAAGTAATAGAAACTATTTTTCACTATTTATTTCTACATCACGTAGTAAGTATGAACTTTTAAAATTTATATTGTTGAATTTATCGGTACTTTGACTCGATGGGTGGTTTTATGGCTCATTAAACAGCCAAAGTGGAGTGCCAAAGAGATTACGCTGGAACTCGTTAATTGCTGTAAACGATTAGATATAACAGAAATTGGCACGCAAGATATTTAATAATTATTTAATTCATCAAAGCACTCTAACCAGAAACTGCTACAAAATTTTAAGCACTGTTTAAAATATCTTCATCAAGATGAACATAGTTTACAAGAATATTTAAATGCACTCCACTGATTATTTCCGTTACTGTCACTTGATAGCCATGTCATGATGTGGATAACATATTAACCGTTTCAACAATGTCTAGTTAATATAATAATTGTAAGATATATTTTAGATTGTATTTATTTTTGTCATAACCATCACAAGTCTATTTTAATATTTACAAACGTCTAAGTATTTTATCCTAACAAATAACCGTTTATTGTAATTTAAATATATAATTTATTTATTGAACGAGTTGTTCGCTTATTATAAATGAAAAGTGGTTATTTCAAAATAATTTAAAGACTCAAAGTTCTTTATAAAAATTAATAATACCTATGTCACTAGATAGTTCTTGTACTTACAAGAAAAAATAAGAGAAGCTAGACTAAAATAAATTATAGGTCAGCTTCGTAGTTTACAACCGACAATTAATTAATTTTAGTTGATTGTCTTGACTAGAATATTTAACATATTCAAACACATTCATGACTTTTCCGCCGTTTCTTAATGTCTGCAATTTCGCGGTTCACTATAAAGTTAAATTAAATATAATATACCTATTAACGAACCCCGCTCAGTATAAAATAATCAATTTTAATATTCTTCGTATCTTGGGTCTTGGGAATATATATGGAACATATTCTGTCTCCTTTCATATTGATCTCGTGCCCACTAAAGGGCGCATCACCCGGATTGAGAAACGGTGTTCTAGTTTCAATCAGGAAGTATTAAAAGAAGTTTTCAAAAAAAAATAGAAATTTTACGTACTTTAATTTTTTCTGTTTTATTACATTTGAGTACCAGGCTTAAACCATTGTATGTCAACACGTCTCGATATTGTAAATATGTATGTACGGACTTTCATGTAAGTACTTTGGTTGTGTAATTGTAGTACAAAGTAGAAACAAGTCATTTTATTTGTAAGGTTTTTTTTGTTACTTTTAACATCATTAGTAGTAGTTTAATTGTACATTATATGTGAATGTAAAATGATTAATATACCCAAGGTCAAAAATATAATACCTAAATTTTTTGCACGAAAATTATTTTTTTAAGTTTAAATTACATTTATGCACGTAATTAACTGGTATCACAGTATTTATTCTATTTTGTTATTTTAGTATTATTTAGGTAAGTAAAAAGATATGCGAAAGTGGAGATTGTTCGATTTCAGACCCAAGATATTTTTAAATACTTACCTCTTTAAAGAGTGGTGTGTAATTTTATTTTTCATGTAAATTTTGCTATTTTTATCTTAACTGTAAACTTTATAAAACTTTATCCCAGTAATCTAACATACAGTCGACTGTTTCCCTACTGCTGATACTGAGCAGCGGTCAGTGTGTGAATTCAATTAATTTAATATTATACAACACTTTTTTATCTTAGACACTGGTATGCTGTAGACCGTACTTAAAATAAGCAAACAAAATGGCGTCATAAACAAATTTATGTGTTATTTATTACGCTCAACATAAGTTTGTCGTGTTTATATTTAAATCCTAGATTCTATAAATTTTTCTTCTAGACACGGATGTTGATAAATATGTCACAGCCAAATTGTATGATCAGCCAATCAACTGGGCGGCTAGTCCTTTATTGATATTGAATGGCGCCATTCAATTAAAGTCTAGCCGCCCAATTGGTTGGCTGATTATATCATTTGGCTGCGACATATACCTATGCAATATAGCATACCACCATAATTATTTGTATTGTCTACTGAAATATTAAGTAAGTATGTTGAAATTAAATTATTATAATACAACTTGTCTACTTATTTATACGAAAACTTGCTACGCCCCTGCTTATTGTGTTCTATAGTTTGTTCCTGTCTGTAGCTTAATAGCTGGTAGACATTTTTCATTGTTCAAACCTGTTTATTGGGTACAATAGGTAGTCTAATGGTGGGATCAGCTGTAGTTCAGGGTAATTCAATAAAATCCTTGTGGTACTCTTCAACCTCTCCATTGTATTTGCAAATGATATACATCGAATCACTTATAAGTAAATTCTAAGATACAGACTCAGAAAGATTATCCACCAGCAAAACACGGCCACGCGAATTCGAAAAAGTAATAATTCAAAATATAGAGCATAGAGTAATGTGTACGGACGTTACGATAGCTTGTTTGGCACATTAGCCAAAACTTTCTATTTTAAGAAACAAAAAAAATTTTAATTAGTAGCAAATGCCGTATCATGCAATATCTAAGACAACGAAAACATCATCATCATCATCAGCCCTTTTACGTCCCCACTGCAGGGGCTCAGGCCTTCCTTATGGATGGTTAAGGAGGATGGGCCATGACCCTCCACGCTGACCCAATGCGGATTGGAGAGTATTAACGACTGAGAGTACTAACGTGCCTTCCGAAGCACGGAGTAGCTCGAGATAATAATTTTTTAGTCACCCATCCCGTGACCGACCCTTGCGAAAGTTGCTTAACGACTACGATCACGGGCCGCGGCGCTAATCCACTACGCCACCGAGCTACCCAATGTAAATAACGAAAGCATACATACCACGAACCGAGACAATATTGATAAGTTCATTTTCTACATTGACTCGATCGGGAAAAGAACCTAGAACCTCAGAGATGCCGACTCCTTGAAACCGGCATGCGAACTACATTGCTAAAGAGACTCGTTGACCGTCAAAACGAAGTCTTTAGGCCTACCGAAATTTTTACACAAAACTATTTGCGAATAAAAATTAATGGTCATATTAATGACATATTTGACTGAGAATGATCCACAACCCTTCGAGGGTGGGGCCACAGGAGGAGTCCCACATCACCCGTGGAGCCCGCGCAGGGTGAAGCGGGTATGCGTAAAGCATTTCTCAGCGACAAAAAAAAAAAAAAGAATGATCAACATGAATGCGAAAAGAGTGTTTGGGACACGCAATTTTTATTGCAGAATAACATTTTTATCAAAAAATATTTTCAGACACGACTTATTCGTTTATAGTAGATAACGATAGAAGACGAAAGCATTTTTTTTTTACCACTATCAGATGTAAAAACTTATACCTTTACTAATTTAGAAATAGCATTATTCACATACAATAGCTAAAAATATCTGTGACATTAGAATAAAATTACTATACTTAGTTGGTGAGTACTTAATATTTAAATTAAAAAACGTACTATTTTTTTTTCGAAGTTTTGTAAAAGCAACTTTAAGCGATTACAGAGATAGACAAATCGGTGGCGTAATTTCGTAAACAAATCGAAATTAGTGCCGTGTAAGCGGAGAATTAATATGCTAAATGGACTTTACGAGATCAGTTGACTGTATTATATATAGGGATAATTTTATACGCGAGGTGTAGTTTCTTTGAGCAGAATATTTTTCCCTTAGAATACTTTTTTTTAAATTTATTTATGACACAAACAGTCATTTCAAATTTTATTACAATATAGACTTAAATGCGAATGCTTAGTTAATTCTGTTAATCATCTGTTTATTCTTTATTATTACTTCTGTTATCAAATATTTATCTATACTTATCAATTGTCTAAAAGAAATTTGATAATGACAAATTTCCACTTTCATCCCCTATTTTTGGCGATAAAATGTAACCTATATCCTTTCTTAAAGTTCAGTTTATTTACTTTATTAATTTCCATTAAGATGGGTTCAGTTGTTTATGCGTCTAAGCATCTATACCGAGTTTGCCAAAGCATATGCAGTGATATTTACCAACTATATTAAATCATCATATAAAATATAGCATTTTAAAATCTACAATAAATATCGATTATAACTTTATTGGAAATTAACAATATCGCCAAAATAAATATCGATTATACACAAATCAATTATTTTTTCCCAAGCCTATTCCTTCTGAATTTTCCGGCTCGCGGACACAGCAGTGCACAAGCGTAAACACGTTTTGTCATTGCCGCCATCTCGGATCTGAAAAAACCAGTCCGGAATAGAGAAAAGTAAAATCCCGGACGGTAATATTCCTGTCAGTGCACAGGCTAGCATTACCTATATATGGCCTGACATATCGGACCTGAAAAAGTCGGACCGCCGGACATGAAAATTCAGTGTAGTGCACAAGCGCCCATAGACTATAACTGAACATGTCACAGACCAGACGTATAATGATTCAATGCATCTTTAATGCCTACTTCTACCTAAACGAGTTAAAGACTTCGATTAAACTTAAAAATGTTACTTGAACACTTGAACTTAAAAATGTTGATATAAACATTACTATTTCTCTTTGTCGTTAGTGTTTATAATATTTGCCCGTGTATAAATAATAATGCTTCAATCGAAACGCGAGGGCTTCAATCGAAATCATAATTGGCATAGGCACCAAAGTCGAATTGCCCGTTCTGTTGCTTACAGAATCTTTGACAGATCTTTTTTACAATTTGTAATCGGAATATTTACTCTTTTTCATGACACATTATTTATTTTTCTGATTGAAATGCAAATCAATTAACAATTTATACTTACGAATGAAATGTGACCCCTTGCTCTTTTCACGATTAACCCATGTTCTACAGTTTCGCATTACACAGGATGGCATTTTAAATATAGCACACAATGCAAAAATGCGATTTTGAGTAATGAGCGTTTAAATTTCAAGAAATTGTAAGCAGCCCCTCTAAACAACGTAACGTCACTTTTCAATACTTCATTATTACCACATTGGAAGTTAACCCTCCTCAAAAAAAATTGGTTTAAACAGTATCTTCTACTCAGAAACAAGTAAGGAACATTTTATGACTTCAAAAATTGTCTAAGAAGTTAGTCAATTTTCAACCTCGACCGATGAAAAGACCTCGACTTCGACTCGAGTAAAGTTCGTATCTAAGGTTCGTATAAATAATAATCGATCAATTATATCCAATTGAACAAGTGAAAAGTCATCGATTCTCTAAGAAACACATTTTGTCTATGACAAAATAACGCAATGTGATTGGCTAGCTGCAACGTAATTTAATTTATCTGTGGACTATCGAATGTGCTGCTTCTAGCGGCAGCAACCGTAAACTAAAAAATCGACGTCAATCAAACATGTCAGTCGGTTCTCCAGTCATTCATCCAATACATTTACTCTTTGCATTCATCTAATGGCGGATATTGTGTTGTTTTTTACAAACGAACAATCCGGTAATGTTATGCCGACCAATATCATACCTTGAAAATGTACGTCACACATTAATAGACTTTTTGTGTATCATAATATAAACTCGATTGTGTGTTGGGACGGACTGCCACAGTATCAACCGGGAATGGAGTGTAGGAACATTACGTTGTCTGTGATTTTATTGAATTAGTACGAGTCGGCGTGTCGGAGATTAGGGCAGAATCTTACAGAAGGTGGCGGCGTGAGATCTTGTTCACCATGGGGGCGCAGCAGGCGAAAGAACGCGGCACCGCCAGCGGAGCGTCCATGCGTTCTACTCGCTCGAAGCCCCGTGTGCCAAAGGACCCCCGCGTTCTTGGTTCCAACATTTTTACCGAGCATAGTGGTGAGTCACTTATGCACTTGCGATTGTCATAATCTTTGCTACTTAAGCTCACCTGATGTCCTTATACCATAAGACAATACCTTACCATTTATCTGAAGCTCATATTTCATGGAATGTTATTATTTTGATTATTTTTTGGAAAATCCAGTATTATCATTTATCTGTTTGAAATAGTATGATGTTGTTGTTTATATCATAAAACCAAACAAAATAATTCAGCTGTGATCTATTAGATTGTAAGAGAATGCATAATTGCATATAAACAAATATTATTCTTTAGCTTGTTACTACTACTTGTCATTTACACTACTCTACAAACAAAAAGTGAAAAAATGCAAATTCTTTGAAAGTTCCAAGTTTAAATTATAAAATAATAATTATAGAAAGTGAAAAAAAAAAAACTATCACATAAAATTTTTAAGTTACATTAAAATGATTTTTTTTTAAAAATATGTCAAAAATACTATTAGCTAATATATATCAATACAATTTGAAAAAGTTTTCTATTTATGATGTTTATTTTTGAGGTAATGATAGGTCCATGTAACTATTGTAACTGTTTTTGTAGATTTCCTTTCGTTTCGTCTAAATAATGGTTTTACTTTTACTTTCCCTGTATCAGGAACCAATATTAATAATCCATCTATATTGTCACACCTTTATCCTGGCAGGGTAGGCAGAGACTACCTCCTACCATTCTGCACAATCTTGACATACCACTCTCACCTCTTTCACATGCATCAACCTTTTCATACAAGAATGGCAGTTTAGGATACTCTTGACCTGGCCTTTCTTTCCCCCATCATAGTGTTGAATCCCAGCGATCTTGATATCTCTTGTTTCAATGAAAAAATATCTTGGTGGAACCTCTCTGCCTGCTCATCACTTACAAAATCTATGTTTTCTAGAAATATTTTTAAAAATATATTTTTATTTGACATGTAGCCCAAGTTGTTATTGTTCAGTAAGTTTTTTTTTCAGTTCCTCAATGTGTCAGATTATGTATTTCCCAATAAAAATTGTGACTATGCTTTTAAATTATCTCCAGGCTTGAAATTAAAGTTTCTCTTCAAATTTCGAACTGCGTAGTACGAAATTTTCTGCAAGCTTAACAAAGGAATTTTCATTTGGATGTCCAATGAAAATTCCTTTGTTAAGCTTGGCATCACTTAACTACTTGGAACTTGTCTATGGTATTTAAAAGGATCACTATTCTTATCAAAAGCCTTAACATTATCAATCCGAGTTTTATATGTAAAGGCATGATAAAAACGAATGGCATGTTCTTGATATTAGCTTCCCCCGGTATGAAGTCACATCTTTGAGGCCATTTTTACTTTGGAATGCTTTTCTGTTGTTCTGTTGTCCCAAAGACATAAAAAACAACAGAATTTAGTAAATCCTTATTGAAGCCCAATAATCAGGCCTATAACATTAAAATCACCACATATCTACCAATTGAGGAAGTAATGCAGAACACAAGAAAAAATTGTTATTTGTGCAAAGAATATCTACAAAAGTTGCAATAGTTACATACACCCAACATTGTCTGAAAAACAAAAATAAATTGAAAAAATACTTTCTCTTTTTCAAACTGTATGGGTATATATTAGCTAATAGGGTGTTTTTCATACATTTTTTTTACAATGTCTTCATTTTGCTGTAACTCAATATTTATATTTGATATTTTTTTCACTTTATAATTCAAACTTGGGAACCCCGAAAGATATTGACGCACCTATAACCATGTCAGATGCATTTTTTCACTTTTTATTTGTTGAGTAGTGTTATTAGACAAATATGAAGTTCTTGACAAATTTAAAGGCTATATTTCACTCAATTGTTTGAGATAGTAGCTATAGTAGCAAAGAAAGCAAAATAAACCATTCCAGAACTGACTCTGGACATTTGATATTAAAAAAAAAATTCAACCAATGAATAAATAAATTCAAACCATTCTATTTGTCCTCATTTTAGTAACAAACTTTAGTACCAGGTTTTAACAATTTATTTAGGTGATCACTCGTTTAAACCAAATTCTCACTTTAGTCCTCTGAAAACTCTTTACCATGACATGAAAATATAACTCACATCAAAATATGAACATTAACACATCAACATTATGAACCTGTTATTTTACTTAAAAATTATCTAATCCCTCTTTTATTCCAATTATAGGAGAGATCCCTTTGTAGGAAACATTAATAGGCTGATGATAATAATATGTAAATTAAAATTTATGCTTTAAATTCAAATTAATAACTGTTTTTTACTCAGTTAAGTTCCTTCATAATTCTGAAGAAACAATTGCTATTTCTACCTTTGTAAACATCCATAACCTGTTACCGCACTACATTGAGCTGACTGATCTGTAATTCAAACCATTTATTATCTGTTAGGTTGACATTTCAAATGTTTGGACTGTCCAACACTGAAGTCTTGCTTACTCTGACAGCCTGACAGATCAATTAGGCTTGCAGTTTGAAAGCCATTGCAATTGCTTACTAAAGCAATTGCTTTCAAAAAAGCAGTTGATGCAAAGCAATTGCTTTCAAAAAAGCCATTGCGTTCCCACATGATTTTATCTATAGGTAGAGCCTCTGCTCTCTACAAGTATACAGATCATAATTATATATTTTACATATATGATGCCAGCATCTAGAACTTTTTAGATTTTTATACATTTTATGTTCTAATGTGGACAAAAGTCTATATAACCGAAATTTACTCATTAAACCATAAGACAAATAAGGACAGGTATTCTAACTAGAGTGCAAAGCTTTGCAAAATGCGAATGATTTAAATATGTATTGTTTTGTATGATTAATTATAATTAGTTTGCAAATGCTAAATTATTATTGCGTAAGTTTTACTAATGGTCAATATAATATTTCGAATTATTACTTTCAATCTTTCCTTTGGCTTCAGGGAATTGATTTCAGTAGCAAAAAAACAATGCATATAGTATAAAAACATATGTGACCGTCAAACATATAAATCCTCTTTTTCAATTTCGCAAATGTAGTTCTGAGCGATAATAAACTTTTTGTAAGTCTAGTAATAATAAGACAGACGAACATGTTATATTTTGTTTTCATTTGTAAAGTAAAACTTTGCAACCAACAGTAACTTTAATAGATCCTATCTTTAAGATTTAAATAAGATTTCAAGCTCTAATGAATGGTCTAAATTTGAAAATTTGTGACATACTGATACCGTAATGTCACTTTAAAGTCATGACAGTTATGAAGATGACTGTTTGTACAACTGGGTTACTTACCCATCAAGAGATACGGATTAAAGTTATAGATATATTCTTGTTATATGCTGATTTATAGACACAGTGTTAGAGGGTTAACTTAAAAGTGGCCAGCATACAATGTGTTCTTCGCTCCACATTGCATCTGTTAATGTAAAAAAAACTCCTGAAAGTAAACACAAAAATTAATTTACCCAGTGCCATATTAAGCCAGAGCAGGGCCTGTAGCAATTTTTTAATGAGTGTTGGTTGTTATTTGCATTAACTAGTTTTTGATGGTTTCACGTTGAGAGGGATAACTCTTAGATTTTCTTCGTCAAAGATTTTGTATTTTAGTCCTAAAATTCTATTGAAAGCCAAGCTGTTCTTATTGACTTTTTCTACATGAATATGATTCAAATGTAAATAGACTAACAAAAGCCGGACAGGCTGTTTGTTTTGGCCAAACAAGCAATCGAAAAGTCTTAACTATTATAATAATAATAAGCCAGATGCCTGGTAAACCTTATTCTGAAAATTACCATAAATGGCCTGACTATCATTGACTATCAAAGCATGCAGGTGATTAGATGGACAATCCTTAGGCAATAGTAGGCTTAATATTTGTTATAAAAACTGAAATACATAAAATAAGGCGTTTGATAGAGTACCTCACAATATTCTTTTGTCAAAATTTAGTAGTACCGGTTCTTTGATAGTATGTTTTTGAATAATCATATCTATTTTCTATGTTGTTATCATTGTTTTTTAGAGCTTTCCTCGCAAAATCTCATCAGTTGTACTTCAAGGCTCGTATTTAGACCCACTGCTTTTCAATATTTTTATTAATGACATTCCCACTTGCTATTTACGTTCAATCCCATTCCTGTGTACCACCTATTTAAAGTTACTTGCGATATCTGAAGTTACTAAGGATATAAATAATATTCAAGAAGATATTAATCGTATGGTGGAATGATGTCGTGGTAATTGTATTCATCTTAACAAGTGGTAGACATAACATTAACTAAAAAATTCTGATGACAAAATAGTACTTGTGAAATCCAAGGAGTCTCTATTGCAAAAACAGAAAAAAATTAGGACTTGTTTGATAAAAAACTAACATTTGTTACGCATATAGAAAGTGTCTCAAAAAGAGCCTAAAAAAATGTTGGGATTAGTTTTACGAAATACGAAGGTGTTCAAAGACATTAATGTTAAAATACTATTATACAATAGTCTCGTGCGAGACATAATCGAATTTTATAATGTCGTTTGCGACTAACTCGTTAAGATTAAAACGATTACAAAATAATCTGTATATTGATGGAAACCGCATTGAAATCCGCTTTGCAGTTTAAAATATCTCAGAGTATAGACAGCGGGAAGTATTATATACTATGTAGTATATAGTTATATAGATATAATATTAACATAACAAAAGTCAGAATTCTTCCAGATATTTTCATATAAATCAAAACTGGTAATCAGATTTCAATAAAGTATTTATAAGACCAGCTCAGGCTCTCCAATGAAAAGAATTTTAAAATCAATCTACAATTCACGGAGATGATAGCGAGCATACATACGTAAATGCGTTTCTGTGACTGATTAAAATATCAAGGACTCTATGAGTTTTTCTTGTAATCTAAATAATAATCTCAGTAACTACATATTTTCTTTCCTAGTAATTTCGAGGTCAAGGGAGAGTGAAGACTTATGGTTAATTTTTAACCTTTTTTCGTAAATAACTGAAAAACAT